CGAGGCGCTGCGGCGGCGGCGGATCTGCGGGGTGCGGCGGCGGTGAGATGCGGACGGCGGCGGCGCGACTGCGGGGAGGAGAAAGAGAGGCGAGGGGCGTCGGGGTCGGCCTTAAAAGGGCGAGGGGAGGGGAGGTGGTGGCGTGGTGGAGGGGCGACGGGCGCCGTGGGGGCCGGCGGACTCTGGCGAGTCCTGCTGGGGCACGCGAGGAGGAAGGCGGTGGCGCACTGGCTAGGCTGGGCCGTGGCGTGTTGGGCCGGCCCAGATTGGCCGCGGAGGAGAAAAGTTTTTTTTAGAACATTTTTTTGGGACAAACTAGAATAATAAAACAAAATAAATAAAAATATTATATAAGCATATAATATATCAAAAATTTCAGAAAAACATTTTCTACGACATGAACATTTTTCTAAAGTAAAATAAAATCCACACGAATTTAAATAAAGCAAAGAGTGCTAATGCTCTAATAAAATCCAATAAAAATCATATTAAAAGACCAAAATAATTTCAAATTTATTTCTCTCCAATTTTCTAATGTAGGGAATCATGTTACCCTATTTTCCATGTATTTTGTTTTTGGAGAAAAATAATTTGAATAAAACTCAAATAACCCAAATTGAAAAATAATAATTTAAAATGGATTTTAAATTTGAGTTTCTTTGAAACTCCCAACTCATATTTCATATGTTTTGAAGAAGTCATTTTATCTTCTCTCATGAAAATCATTGAGTTGCTTAAAGTTCCAGAACTGGAAATATTTTCAAATGAAATTCAAATATTTTCAACACCCCTTTTCATTTAAATAAATGGAAGAAGTCATGTCATCTTCTCTCCAGGGTTTTGTGGTGAAAAGAATTTGAATTCACGGAGATCACAAATGCAAAAATGAAAGTTTGGGAAAGTCCTTTTATTCCCTCTCATTTAACTTTCAAAAAGTTTTGAATTCACTCCCTTTCAGTCAATCAATCACACAACAATCAAACGAGCAATCAAATCTATATATTTATTATAACATTCCAAATTTTAGAATTTTGGGATGTTACAATCTAGGAGGGATTGACAACCCCTCTTACGCGTTGGGTTGCAAGTTTTTTTATTTGTGTGAAGGTACTGCTTACATAGTTTGGTGGATCCTCCTACTGGATTGATAAATTTGTTTCATAACTGAGGAAAATACTTACCGTTGTTGTGCTGCATCATCCTCTCCTCTTCGGGGAAATACCAACGCAGATACAAGCAATTAGTTTCATCAAGGAAACATTCTTCCGGCAAGTGGTCGATGTGGCAGTTTTCGCAGACCATGGCGATGAACTGGATATTTTGGTGGAGGTGCTGACGAAGCTCCTACTAATACGCAGCCCCCGAGTTCTGCAATCCGAACGGGAAGAGGCGGTTTAGGCCAGACGGTAAGGACGCGGAGATCAGAAACCTATCCCCCGTCTCGCGCTAAATAGGTGGTCGGCACAGTTAGAGGTCGCCACGAGCGTTGGTGGTGAAGGCGACGCTGCCGATGTAGATTGTGCGTACAGGGTGGGCCAGTGGGTTGTTGTCGACCCGACCTACCTCATCGGCGGTAAATGTGAGGGAGCCGAAAGTTAGGCTCTCCACCGGCGGAAGGCCGCTGGAGGTAGAAGAAGATCCGATCCAAGATCAATCTATAGCCGACACGCTCGTGCCTAGCGCGCCAACTGACGGTGCAGAATACCGTTAGATCCCTCGGTAGGAGTCCAAGCGCCGCTAGAAGTCTTAGATCGGAGGTTGCACAGAGGGCTTATCCAGGTTCGGGCCTTCGTAGAGTAATACCCTACATCCTGCTTGTTTTTTTATTCATGGAGGAGGGATACCTCGTGCAAGGGGTTACAATGGTGTATGCGATTGCTACCGAGAGTTGTTATCTGAGATGAGATAGCCAAGAGGGTTGCCCGGCCTCCCTTTATATAGACAGGGAGGTCTAGGGTTTACATGGCAGTAGATGCGATCTAGGGCGCCGCTACATTAGTCTCCGAGAGCATGAAGGTCTCTGACGCCTCTTTAGGGCTTCCCTTCTATACTGGGCCTGGTGGGCCCCCGGTAGGCACCGAGGTCGGGCTCCCTTGGAGAGCCATCCCTGGTGTAGGACACCGTCAATAGCGAGGTTTGCGTCAGAAAATCAGCACCTCGTGCAGGCGGAGTACGAGTTCTATGCGTCGCTGAGCAGGATAAAGGAGGTGAAAGAGGAGAAGAAGAAGACGGAGGAGGAGGACAAAGTTGGCCCCTCGACGGTGGTCGTTCTCGATAGTTCGGACTTGGTGAAAGACGAGGCCGACATCGATTGGGACGACCACTCTGATGAGTAGTTTCTGGTCAAACAATCTTTGTATCGGAACTATGTTTGAAATTGTCATGTTTTATCTAAATTTGCAATGTTTTGATGTTTTCGTGCCTAATATACGTCACATATTGGAGCAAAATGGTGCCCTATTTTTACATCATCTGTTGAAACAAACATGTTTGAGATGATGGAAAATTCACTTTTTGATGATGTAAAACTACTTTTTGTGTGCCCATGATACATCACCTGTTGGAGATGCTCTTAGATTGTCTATGTGGGCAGCTGCATTATATGTACAGAGCATAGGCATCGGAGTTGATCTCTTGGGAGGGAGGCAGACTGTGGTCGCACGTCCTAGGTAATTCCGGCTCTACACGCTACACGGGAGCTCTTGGAGTTGCACAGGTGATACTAATACCCTGGTCTGTGTCCGCTGTTCCGCTAACGCTGCCGCCGGAGCAGGGGGGAGTCGGCCCCGACGGTCCTTGCCTCCCGAAGCTCCAGAGCCTCTTCAAAGACCTCAGCCTCGCTAAGCCCGGAGACTTGGACGCGCCGCGTGGGGTCGCCACTGTCCTTGAGTCCGGAATGTCGATCACCAGCATTGCCGTGGTGGCAAGGGCGGAGGGGCTTGACTGGCCTCCGTGAGAGGTCACGGTCTCCGCGGCGAGCGTGGCCTGGTCTGAAACCCCGAGCAGTACACTCGCCGGCAGGTTCCCGGCGTAGTTCACCGGCTCCGGCGGCAAGGAAGGGAGACTCGTCGGTGTAAGCGCCTGCGACTCGTCGGGTTTGCCGACGGTGGCCCTGCAGAGCGGGCAGCTGGTGTGGGAGGCAAGCCACATGTCGACGCACTCGGTGTGGAAGCCGTGGCCGCACCGGGGCAAGAACCTGGCCTCCTCCCCGTCTTCGAGCTCGGTCAGGCACACCGCGCACTCCACCCCGACGTCGTCCGTGGAGCCTTTCGGCGCCGCGCGGTACACCGTGACCGGCAGCGACCGCAGAAGCTCCGGGTCGACGCCCTCCGCGGCCGCCTCCCAGGCCCGGCCGCCGCGTGGCCGCCCTCTAGGCGCGGCGGTCCGGACGCTGGTGTTGAAGTAGTACTGGAGGAAGATGAGCGCGACAGCGAACGTCAGGAACACCAGAAAGATGCCTGTCATGGTGAGTATGCCACCGATCGGCATGGTCGGCGCCGCCGCGGAGACCGCCGGTGCTACCGCCCAGCCCGAGGACGAGTCCATAGAGGCGGCGGACTGCTCGGACTCCTGTACCATGTGGTTGCGCGGTCTTGGTCTTTATCAATCCCGTGTGGCTTGGTGAGTGAAGATGCGCTCGACGTAAAAAAGCTCGTACATATATATATGCGCGCGGAGTGAGTGTTGGAGGGACGAGGTCAGTGACACTGACATGGATGAAGCAGGGGAGAAGGAAGGGGGAAGGCGCAGGCGGCGCGCGGTCGATCAGTCTTGAGGGGCAAGTCTGTTGCTGTTTGCGGGAGAGCAGTGCAGCGCATGACGGACGGGTCAGCGGCGGCGGCGGCGGTTCTTTGAACTCGTGCTGCCAAACGAGTGGAAGATGCTGCAGACGCGATTACCCCACGTGTGCATTTTATGGGAGGTCTTCCTCCAAGTTGTCTTCTTCAAGCCACCACGGCATCGTCTTGTATACGAACAAATCCCCCCATCACAAAATAAGTATTTTTTTTCGACAAATGGTGAATCTTATTGACTCATAATGAAGCATAAGAGCATCTCCAACCGCCGCGCTTCGCGCCGCCCGCTAAAAACTAGTTTGTCGCGCGTCATTCGCCTGATTTTGCGCGGCCTCAAGCGCTGGCTCCAACAGCCGCGCTAAAATGTAACTCGCGCGCCGCTCCAGCAGCGCGCAAAAAATGCAGCGCGCGACTCGCCGAGGCATTGCATATATATCATTTTGACACAAAATGAAGTTGTGAAACATTCAAAATGCAATGAACATGACATATAAAATTTGACACAAACAAGTTGATAAAAAAAAGTTCATGCCCACAAGTTCATTCAACCAAGTTCAAAATGCAAATCAAGTTCAAGACACAAATGAAAGACGCATTATTCCTCGTCCTCGTCCTCGTCCTCGGAAGACGATTCTTCCGCCTCCAAAGATGAATCTTTCTCCCTCTCCTCATCGTGCACCGCATCACGTGAGGCTCCGACGGTGTTGGCAAGATCTTCAACGTCATCTTCATGGGAATGTGTGTGAGGAGGCACACTGAAAGACATTCCGCCCATGGCGGCCGGAGGTGCACCCATGCCTCCCATGAGAGAAGCAAAACTCATGCCACCCATGCCTTCCATGGCACCTAAACCGCCCACGGTACCTCCGAAGCCACCCATGCCACCCATGACGCCAAGGCCACCGCCACCCATAGCGCCAAGGCCACCGTCACCCATTGCACGAATCATGGCTCTTTTTTGGATCAAGACTTCTTCACGGGCAAGATTGACATACTCCGTTTGCGCCTTATTGAGGTTAGATGTGTCCAAGAAGAACAAGTGCTTCTCCCATTCCAACAATCTTGTTCGCTCCTCATTGCTCACCTTCCTCTCCTCCAAAGCCACGTTCCTCTCCTTGGCCGCCACCCTCCTCTTCTCGGCCGCCAACCTCCTCTCCTCGGCTGCCACCCTCCTCTCCTCGGACGCCAACCTCCTCTCCTGGGCCACAACATCTTGGTTCCTTGCCATTTTTCTCACCGCGTTGGCTTCTTTTCTTGCCTTCACAATAGCTTTCATAGCATTTTTGAGCTCATCATCTCCTTTCCTCTTCTTCTTTTCGGTTTTGTCTTTCTTGCACCCACCCGGTCGCTTTGGCTTCGAGTATGAAATCGAGTTGGGTGTGGGGCTTCTCTTGCCGTCATCACTTGATGCATCATCCTCCTCGTCATCATCATCCAACTCAATTGTTCGCTTGCGTTTGTTGCTCAAATGCAAATCATCCAAATCTTCACGCTTCTTCCATTTCTCATCATCCTTCAACACCTTATAGCAATGGGGCAAGGTAAAGACCCTTCCTTTCTTGATCTTCCCCTTCTTGGTTTTCCTCTCCTCTTCTTTGAACAAGTTTTGCGCAATGTTGTACTACATAAAAACAAAGCAAGTTAGCGCCAACAACAAGTATGATGAACATGTATGAAATGCCACTTACTCTATCGTCCTCATTTGTGCCACTTGGGTTCAACTTGTCAACCGCCTTTTGACAGGCCACCCACCTTTGACAATCCGAGTTGATTGTCGACCATCGGGACCGAAGTGATCTCTCGGAGCGGTCAATTCCACTCACGTTGTGAACATCAAAGTGTTCTTTCATCCGCCCCCAATAAGCATCTCGACTTTGATCACCTCCAACGGATGGATCCCTCGACACTTGCAACCAAGTATTGCATAGTAAGATGTCATCGGCGTTGGTGTAATTGCCCGCTCTTCCTTTCGGCGCGTCGACAATGCCCTCACCATCCTCGTCCACCTTGAACTCGTGGTCTTCGAAATGCATGTCATTGGTTTGAGACCAATGTGAATTGTTGGAGCCAACACCCATAGTTGACATGTATGCATCATCATTGAGACTACAAAGTTTTTTGAACAATGCAAATAAGCTATCTATATGTGAATGCATTGAAAAAATAACAAGAAAAGAAAAGTTGGGAATTTTTTACCTTGGGGGCATTTCGTCGAACATGTTATGCGCGTCGGCCGCCGGCTCAACGAGTGAGCTCGCCGGCGCTTCGGTAGCCGCCGCGCCCGTCGCATGCCCTGCAAGCTTCTTCCTCCTCGCCTTCGAGGTGCCGGAGCCGTCTGCCACCTTGTTTTTCTTCGCCGATGTCTTGCCCTTCTTTGGCCGTGCCGCATTGGGGAGCTTTGAGGAGGGGGCGGCGGCTCGAGCCGGCGCCGGCGCGACACCACCCGCCGCCGAGGTCATCCGCGGCGGCATGAAGAGGCCGCGTGCGAGGCCGGTGGTCGGAGGAACTCCGGCGGAGGCGAGGCCCACGCCACCCGGGCTAGGGTTTGCGGCGGCAGCGGTGGAGGGGTCGCGGCTATTGGATGGGGTGAGCGGGGTGCTGGCGCGTGCGTCCATGGGTGCAGTTCGCCGGCGCCGACGCGCGCGGGGCGTAGGAGGCGGAGAAGAGAGAGTGCAGCGCGAGCGCTCGAGTGTGCCGCGCGCGGAAGTGGGCGCCCCAAATACACCGCGCGAGATAGCGAATCCGACCGCGCGCCCAACTCCTTATACCACGCGCGCGGTTATTGCGCGCCCGCTGGAGCCACCCGCCGAGTTGCGCGCGCGCTAAACTGGCCAAATTTTGCGGCACGGCGCTTGTTTAGCGCGACTGTTGGAGATGCTCTAAGGTGGATACAAACACAATGAGTATACACTCGGCCTCTTCATAGCTAAGCTGCACACAACCAATATCAACACACACAAAACCTCCTAACAAATAGCAAAGTCATACAAGACCAAAGCTATGCCTAAGCGAGAAAAACACCAAAGTGAACAATTCTGCGATCGACAATTCTACAACAATGACCATATCCACACCGTACATCTCATGACATCATAAGGACAACGAGATTCTTCAACGGCAACGCTTTCAGAAGAGGAGCGACGCTCTACATAGCTGTCACGGGATTCAACCACCAAAGATCAGAATATAGGCTTTCACCCTAAAGAACTAGTCTGAGCATATCCGAACAATGCCTTCAACAAGGTAACGATGCATAAACATCGCCATTGCCATGTATGACCAACTCGTGTCAGACCAAGGTTTTCACCCCGATGCTCAAGACCAGGTATTTGAGAAGCATCACAAACATAGTCAATCATATGTTGTCGCTGCCACTTTTCCAAGATTCTAGCAACTACATGCGATGGACTAAAACCAACCTCCGCCACTGCACAAGCATACCCTTTGCGTCAAGCCGGCGTGCATGGAATGCATCTCACCGCTAGAGGCAACCATCGGATCTGAAGATAGAAATCCTCGTGATGATCTTTATGTGGTCATTGCAATCCGCAGCGAGAAAAGGAGTATGGAGCGGCGGCGGTGCTACGTATACGAGTCGCACCCGAGTCGCCTAGGGCTAGGCGGCGGTGCTAGGTAAACTTTAGTTGGGACGGAGGGAGAATCTGGCAGCTCCACATAAAATTTCTCAATAGATATTTATCTTTCCTCTCTACTCCCTTCGTTTTTATTTAGTTTGCATATTAGGTTTGACTCAAGTCAAACTTCGTAAAGTTTGACCAAGTTTATAAAAAAAAAATATAAACATTTATCATAACAAATCTATATGATATGAAAGTACATTCAATAATGAATCTCATGGTATTGATTTGTTATTGTATATGTTAATATTTTTGTTTATAAACTTGGTCAAAATTTACAAAGCTTGACTTTGACCAAAGCTAATACGCGGACTAAATAAAAACGAAGGAAGTAATAAATTTATTAGGATTTTCAGGTGTGGTGTGTTTGTAGGTTTTTGTTAAACTCATCCTCAATAATCCCTTCATTCTCTTATATACAAGGCCATTTCATATTTTCATGTCTAATAACTTTGACCATTAATTTTACCATTGGAAAGTGTGTTATATGTCATAAAAGGTGCCCTAGACATCTAAGCCTTCTCTTTCCTCCTTCACAAAAAAAGACCCTAGGCAATCCTCCTCCTCCCGTCGTCGTCGTCGCCGGTCCAACCCATCTCCGATGGCCTTTGGGCCATGAAGGTGTGGAGGACTTCGGCCCCCTCCGGCGGGAGGGTTTCCATTTTCGTTTTTGTTATATTCAACGTCTTTATTGGGGTTGTGTGGCAGCGTCAATGTCCCTCAGTAGGAATAATGTCTCCCACGTTCTATCCCCATCTTGATGGTGTGTCTAGTGTTCTCGAAGGACGTGCGGAGGCATGTCTCCATTGGATCTTGCGGGATTTGTGTCAGTGCTGGTCTTTGGTGGATCTGTTTGAATCCAGTCTTCGTTTATTTTTGTTTGGGTGTTTAGTAGTTTGATCCTTCTTATCTACGATTTTCTTCATTGGCGATGGTTGGTATTGTGGTGTGCTAGTCCTATGGGGTCTTAGAATGATGACTTCTGGACTGTCTAGTACAACAAGGTTTGGGCTCTGGCTAGGGAGGGGCGATGACGGATGCGCGCCTTCCTCTTGCTCCCATACCTCTAGTCGTCGCCAAGTGGTTCAGGGAACTGGTTGTAATTTTTATTACCTTTGGTGTTCTTTATACTGCCATGACTGAG